AAAATCTGCAGAAGTTAAATTTGCTTATTAATTGTCAAAATGCATATAGGCTACACAATGGCTTAAATACAGGAAATATCAAAAACTTAATGCTAACACAATATTTCAGATGCTGTAATTATGATGGCATCATGTTGATATTTAGAAATTCTACATGGCTTGAATATAATTATCTAGGTGAATAATATTTAAGACAATATTTCATTTTTCAAATAAAAAAATCTAATATTTCTTTAATCCATTTTAGATCTATTTAATTTTTAATCACAGTTGTGTTTGATTTTAGTAGTATTATAAGATTCTTGAATATGGAAAATATTAATTTTGCTTGTTTCCTGTCACAGGTTACTATTATTAAGTTAAAATGTTATGGATATCATTTTTTTGGTTATGGTTTACTCTGTCAAATGTACCCTTATTAAGCCTTAATTTCTTAGGCTATTAAATATTGCTAATTTTTACATTATGTTTAATAGAATTAATTAAATATATAAATGTCATCTAAACTTATATAAAAAATTATATACAAAGCATAAATTAGAAATTTTGAAAAAAAATTGAAAGTAATCAACTGCTGATGAGGATAAATATCTTTGCATTATGTGTCAAATGGAGAAACCAATATTTAAAACATGACTTTGGTTGAAGAGACAAAAATAATGACCAATAGGAGTATCACCTAAGAAGAAATATTATATGATAATTGATTAATATAAAAATTATATAAGATATTTTAAGCAAATACAAAGATTTAGAGTTTGATTGGAAATATATTTGAGAATTTTTTTTTTAATTCTATTTATTATAGTATTTTTAATTAAATTAAATTCAATAATTTTTCTCTTTAATTTAAGTCAAAAGTTGGATAGTTGAGACTAGAATATTGCTGAAAGTTATCAGATTATTAATCTCATTCATTATTATACTAGTTTTAAATACTGCTTAAAATAATTACAAAGATCTAGGATTAAATGCGACCTATTTGAAATTATGATTTATTTTCAGCATAATGATATGATTCTGTTTAGTGAATGTAAATATTAACAATGAACTTTAGTTATTAAAATGATAAAAATTGTATGAACCATAAAATAAATGGATAGAAAAAGTATTTTTAGCTTACTCCAAAAAAACAAACTTTTGAAATTATGAAGAGTCAATTTTAAGATGATATTATAATAATAAAATTTATAAATGGAAATTAGAAAATTCCTAAGGGTATAGTCGAAGAATATCAGCATCACACTATCATTATTATATTCTTTAAAAATAAAAAGTATTAGAGCTTCAAAAGAAAATAATAATTTAATTTAAGTTTGATAATGAATGAATCAAGATGAAAAGCTTAATATTCTTTTAATAGCACATACAATATTTCAACTTAAAAATAGTATTCTAAACACTTTAATTAAAACTATAATATAATAAATTGTTTAACTGATGGTACTTTAAAAAATATCCCTAAATTTAAAAAGCTAATGTTCAATTAATTGCTGTACTTTACTTTAAAAGTAACTATTAGTAAAATATTCTGAAAATTTAGAGAATATTAACCATTAGGTTCTAGTTACACTAATTTGTGTTGAGAGTAGGTAATCTATATAAATCACATGATAAAAGTCACAATTTTCAATACTTACCGTATGTTTATGAAAAAGGATTTATTATCATATTTGTATAATAATGGCATTTAAAAATAAAAATTAATTAAATAAATTGATTGTGATACTCAATTAATTGTTAATGAAATCGATTGTAGAAATAATGTTATAATACAGCATGTCTAGTTGATATAATTATTGTATAAGTCAATGCAATATATTCCTATTAAATTAAAAACTTGAAGGTCTATAAGTTTAACTAGAACCTTAAATTTTCGGATAATTTATGTTAGAAATTTAGAGAAAAATCATATCTATGTATATTTATTAAATATGTAAATTCAAAAATATGTGCATCAGTTATAAATTAATAATTTTTTTGATGACTCTATTAAAATTATTGTAATATTTTAGTGATCAATATTAATGTTTGTGAAACCAACATATGTTTTATATGAAATAAAGAAATGTAAATCAGAAAAGAATATTAACAAATCCGAATATTCAACTTTTTAGAATGCAAATCAATAGTGAATATTATTTGATCACGAAATATATAACATTATCTTTTAAAAGAATGTTATAAAATTATAGATTCTAACATATTTTGTCAAAATAGGAATAATTAATTTTCTAAAGCTGGAGATTGATATGCATAAATCAGATAATTGGAAATAATTCAGAAAGTCTCTGAATATATGAGAAGAATTTAATTTTTCTTTTATTAAATTATTTCAAATTTTTCTTGCAAGCCTAAAAAGCATCATCCAAGGAAATTGCATCATTCAGAGTTCGTTGCTATTTCAATCTCAAGCTGAAAAATTGAAGAGAAGAATAATCTATGCACCAGCCATGACAAATATGATCTTTGGATAAAATTTCTTAACAACCATATTCTTTAAGTTGAATGCAAGATGGTA